TTACATTTAGGGAGACGTATTTTTTTTTTTTTTTTTTTTTTTTTTATCATGGTATGGTTATGTCCCTATAAGCATGTAGGGCAGCGTCTGTTCGTTCGAGTGCGGAGCAGAATCGACGTGGTGGTTCTCTTTGCGAATCTCTTCCGGACGAAAAAAAAAAATTTAGGGCAACCTAACAACCAACATATGTATACATACATATATGTATATGTATATGCATATGTATATGTATATGTATATTTTTTTTTTTTTTTTTTTTTTTTGTTGATTTGAAGGCCTGCGCCAGTGAACCATCCCGTGGTTTTATTTTCCCCCGCAAGATTATGAGCAGATCAAGGGGGCAACAACGAAGTGAGAGCTTTTTTCTTCGCGTGTCCTCTTCTTCGGCTGGATAACTGCAACCGGGGAGTTGACTCGCCAGTGACGACGGGGCCAAGTGACGACGCGGACAGCGCGAGCACAAGGAAAGCGTTTCCTATCTCTGTTCCCCCCCCCCCCCCCCGGCTCCCCACATCGCCCGCGCAAGATGGATGGCAAAGTGGAGGAGAAACTGGACGTAGATGAGGAGGCATACGACATGCTCTTCAGCCCGGTGACCCCCTGGCCCTGTTTGTCCCTCGACTTCATTCTGAACAAGCATGGTGAAGGCCACCCCTCGGTAGGAGACGCCAAGAAGAAGGAGGGGGGATGCTCCCCCGTGACGTACCCACTGCAGATCACCTGCGTGGCGGGAAGCCAAGCTGCCAAGGGGAACCAAAATGAAATATACCTCCTCAGGTGGGACAACCTGAACAAGCTCAAGGCGGGGGACGAGGATAGTGATGAGGATAGTGACGAGGATAGCGACGGGGACAGCGACGAACATAGCGGCGATGGTTACGGCCACGGCAATGGAGGCTCCGCGCAAGGAGACTTGGTGAGGGAAAAAAAAGCAAACGGAGTGCACGCCCCTGATGCGGGTCGCAAGAAGGAACAAGTTGTGTGTAAATCGATTAAGCACCCATACGGAGGATTAAACAGAATAAAGACATGCAAAAAAATAAACTCCCTCATTGCGACATGGTGTGAGGATAGTAATGTATACATTTATGAATTATCTGAGGAGATGAGACATGTTGATGAGCGACCATACAATGAGGAGGTGGTGAACAAACCATTACATGTGTTCAACGGGCACACCACTGAAGGGTTTAGTTTAGACTGGAACCCTGTTCATGCGGCGAAGCTTTTAAGTGGAGATAATAATGGGCAGCTCTTTCTGTGGTTGCCTGACAATAACGACAAGTGGGCTTATGAAAAGTGCAACATCGAGGTTGCTGCTGACCAAAGCGACGACAGGAGTGGAGGAAAGGGAAAAGGGAAAAAGAAACACAGCATTGAAGATGTACAGTGGGTTAAAGGAGGAAACGGGTTCGGCCATGTGTTCGCCATGTGCTCGTCCGATAAAAGTGTGCGTATAGTTGATTCACGAGACTTAAAAAATAAGAAAAATGAAACGGATGGAAGGAATGATTCTACACAAATACATATAGCAGAAGCACATGCATCAGATGTAAATGTTATAGCATGGAATGAAAAGGTTCCTTTTTTAATTGCCTCAGGAGGAGATGATTCTGTCGTGAAGATATGGGACGTCAGGAATGTGTCCACTTCTGTTGGTGCATTAAAATTTCATAAGCGACCCATTTCAGCTGTGTCGTGGGATTGCCATGATGCTTATGTGATTTTGGCTGCTAGCCTAGACAATTCTATTTCCATTTGGGATCTGTCTGTGGAGACTGAGTCGTTAGAGTTTGGCCTGAGCAAGTACCCTGACCAACTTCTCTTCGAACATTTGAACCAGAAGTTCATCACAGATGCCAAGTTCCACCCCCTCTACCCAGGCGTGGTCGTTTCTACGTCCAGTGATAACTTTAACATTTTTAAGCCCTGCAATGTGTAGTTGCGCGGGGCAGCAAGAGGGGCGGCGGGGAACCGATTTGGGGGTCACCTCTTTGACCCTACCTTTTAAACCCACTTTTGAACCGACTTTTGAACCGATTTTTTTACCTTAAAATTTGAGTCTACTTTTCGACCCGTCGACGGGGATAAGTTATGTTAAAAGAGAGGGACCTGTTCACACGATTCGTGGTTCCGTGAAGCAACGTGCGGGGGTATGGCCGCCTCACCCACCACGCGCACAGATAATTAGCAGTTACAAGGGGATGCAAAAAAAAAAAAAAAAGGGGGTCACACGCGTGTACAAAAGGTCATAGCCGCATAGAACGGGCAGCAAGTCTAGCCAACCCCTTCGTCAGTGCGTGCGCACCCGCGCGATGGCCTTGAAGGCCGTGTCGAGGACCTCGCTGATGGTGGGGTGTGAGTGCACCATGTGCGCCAAGTCAATCACGGACAGCCGTAGGTTCAAAGCCAGTACCCCTTCGTGAATCAAAATGGAAGCATAACTACCCACAATGAACAAACCCAAAATTTCTTTCGTGTCCTTCAGGAAAACAATTTTTACCATCCCACTCGTATTGTCTACATGGTTGTACTTTCCCTTGTTATAAGAATTATTTTTTAAGAGCTCCGGAAAGCTCACCTCGTTATTTTCACACAGGACTTTAGAGTTTGCTTTGTAAAAAGAAATTTCTGTGCCGACGTTCTCCGGGGGGTATATCTTCTTGGCTTCCTTTTCTGTTAGTCCCACGGATGCTACTTCAGGGGTAGTGTAACACACCCATGGGATGTTTTTGTATGTGATTGGTTTACGAGCCCAGTTGGTATGGCAATCATTCGAGTGGTCAGCGTTGTCTCTTTGCTGCTGGTCTTCTTCTACCCCCCCCTTGGTGGTTATCCAATCGACCACCTTCAATGCTTGGTGCGACGCCGTGTGTGCTAACATCTGCAACCCATTGGCATCTCCTATGCAAAATATATTATCGTATACCCCCTGACGATCCGCCCTCTGCACCCTCAAGTGTTCATCCACCAAGACGTATCCTTTATTCGTTTGTATTTGTAACTGTTCAAGTCCCATGTTCTTCGTGTTGGGTTTTCTCCCGGTAGCCACTAAACAGCTGTCCACACGTGTTTCCCTAATGTGATTATTTTCGTAACCTGGGGTAGCTGCTGCTTCTTCCTCCTTGTTGTCGTTTCTTTCACTGTGCCCGATGATGACCGGCTGGCCACCCCTGGCCGCCCTCACATACTTAATGCACGTATTCAGGTGAACACGCATCGGCTTGGACTTAATAAAGACGCGTTCGAAATAATTTGCCACGTCTGCATCAAGCAATGGTAACAGCTGAGGAGAATAATCAAAGGAGACAACTTCTGACCCCAAGGCTGTGTATATATCGGTGAATTCAATACCTATTATGCCCATGCCAATTATGGCCATATATTTTTGTAGTCCTTCTAAGTTCACTGCTTGGTCACTAGTGAAAACAGTTTTTTCATCCACTTCTATATTGTCTGGAATGTTTGGAGTAGACCCTGTTGCGATGATTATATTTTTCACTTTGTATTCCTTTCCGCTCTTTTGGCTTTTAATAATATTTTTGTTTATTATATGACCATGTTCATGAATTACGTGCACATGTTCATGCATTACCTGCACATGTGCGGAAATTACCTGTACATGTTCAGAATTTTTGTAAAATTTATAATTTTTTAATCCATTTTCAATTCCTCCCTTCAATTTGTTAATAACATTTTGTGTATACTGCTTTAACTTTCCTATGTCCATATGAATAGTTTCAGCTAACAACTGGTTTCTCTCTACTGGATTTGTTTTTTCATTTTTGTTGAATGCATCCGTGTAAATACCATATGTATACAACTTTGCGAAATTCTTTAATTCTCGGTACTTACCCGTGGCGTATAGCAGTGACTTGCTTGGGATGCACCCAACATTCACACACGTCCCTCCAATGCTATCCTGGTCTCCTGTGAAAATAATAACTTTTAATCCTCTTTCCATGGCGTTAATTGCTGCGGCGTGTCCCCCGACTCCACACCCGAGAATTCCAACATCGTAATATTGTTCTGTGGACAATTTCCTCATCGACTGTTCCTTGCCACTTCCCTTCACTTTGAATGATCTGTATCGACCGACTCGTCTTTCACTTTGGGGTGTAGAGATGCCCATGTCGTTGCACCTGATGAACATGTTACTGGTTTTTTTTTCCCATGGGACAGGGTTCCCTTTTGTGTGTAACAAAGGCGGTGTGTGCCCACCCCTTGTGCGTTTCGCCGTGCCATTTTGTGTGACCAGGAGGAGGAGAAAGAGGAGGCAACCGATCCATATGAACGTGCCTCCGCGCGCGCCCATTTGGTGTGTGGGGCGAAAATGAAGAGACGAACACACGATGCAACGAAGAGACGACGCGTTGTGGCTACCAGTCATATAGGCCAGGGGAGACATAACGCAGATGCCCCACCGTGGCAAAGCGGACTCCACACACAGGGGTTCCACTCTTGAGCATGCACGTTGTGTTGCAACAGGGACATGGTCCAAAGAATAAAAAAAAAAAAAAAAAAAAAAATGGCCCTATAAATGCAATGTTGGCAGAATAGCCCTACAAGAGATGCAAACCGATGCTCTCTTTAAAAATTTTTTTTCCTAATGAGAAGTGGAAGTGGAAATGCAAGAAATGTTGTTGGGGGGGGGGGGTGGAGAAATACACTTGGGAGGTGCACTCCACGGTGCTTCCCCCGTTATGCCTTTTCTTTTTTTAAATGAAAAAGTGCGTTGTAGAAGAGTGCGCAGGAATTTTAAGCGAGCCGGGGAACAGAGGAACCATCGAACGTGCAGAGACCACAGGCACTTGGTAGGTGTACAACCCACACTTCATATAACACCAGAACATTTCCTTTTACTTTCTCCCCTTATCATTTTTTTTTTTTTTTTTTCCTTTTAGTTGAATTTTCCCAAGGGCATATGCCCCCCAATATGGACCACTTCTAAAGCAACCACAGGGCATTGGCTTCGCTACGAAGTATTGAGATGCATCAATGAGGAGGAGAAAGGGGGGTCCACCAGCGTGTGCACTACCTGCCCGATCACAGCATGCATGACAACAACATGGCCGATCACAACGTGCTCATTTTCCCCCGGTCATGTAAAAAAAAAAAAAAAAAAAAAAAAAAAAAAAAATTTATATACACACGCCCTTCTTTGATGAAGGTGCACAACTTAACCAGGAGTGGACATGGTGATGTGTTCATGTGGTGGGGGATACACAGAGTGACATATGCTCCTTTTCTGTTTTGGATGCATGTTGAATAGAGAAAGGGGGA